AATATGCCTGGAGCACACAGTCACACCTGCACGCAAGCAGCAGACAAATGTGTACCATCCAAAAATAATGAGCAGATGATCACAGAGTTGATCACCCTTTCCTCTCCACAGAGCTGCTGGGGCACAGAAGGCTCATCCCTTAAACAACAGCAGAGCCAACACCAACTGTCAAGTCAAGTCAAGAGAGGCCAAGCTTTCAGGCTTCAGCTAGGAACAGGGTTAACATTTTGGCTTCAGCCTAACAGAAGAAACAAGAGTCAGGCTGGAGAGGGTCCAGGAATAAACCTGGAGAGTAGCTTAATGATGCACTGTCTGCACTGTGAAAGGAGAGGCAGTGAGGTCAAGGATGCCAGTAGATTTTTATTTTTTTTAAATCCTGAGAGAAACTAATGCATAGCAGAGAAGAGCCAGGTGAGGCAGTAAGGGAGGTGCCAAGAGCTGGAACAAGGCATATCTAGAGGATGCAAATGGTTGAATTAAAGGAGAGCTTCCTCTCCCACTGCCACAGAAGGAGATGTAGAAGTGGGAAGATAGGAGCCAGTACATTCAAACTCTCCTGGAACAGATTAACTAGTGCAAACTGTAAAAGGAGATATGAGAGGAGACAAGACCTGAGAAGCAAATTCAGCAGCAACCAGCACACTGGGATCCCAAGCATGGTGTCATCAGTTCCAGGCACAAAAGAAATAATAATACTCAGAACAATCATTGCCACTGTTGACAGTGCTTTCAGCTCCTTCGTGCATAGAAGAGGGCAAGATATATTTGCAGAGATGGACATCAAGCACACAGAGGGGAGAGTAGCAAAAAACGCAAAGAATAAGTGATGAAGACAATTAGGAAAACACCAAGAGCAAGTAAGAAACTTCATAAATGCATTCAAATGCCAAAGAACACGGAAGGCCTGAGACAAGATGCTGAATGTCATGACTTTCATCTGTCACTTGGTTTCACCAGCAGAGAAAGCAGTGAAGGGAGTTCAGTGAAGATCAATTCAAACCATCAAACCTTTTGTTAAGGTGGGAACACTGGGCCTGTATCAGCGATGAACCTGAAGCAAGGAAACCCACAGCTATGGAGAGCTATTCAATCTCATCAGAAAAGGTGAAAGACAATAGCAAGATGCTCAGCAGGAGAAGAAAGCTGAATTCAGAGGCAGGAAGAAATACAAGGGGCAAGACAGGTGACAAAGTTAACACACACCTGTTTCACAATCTGGTACAAGCTATGACAGGAATGTTTGTTGTCTTTTTTACAAACAACACAGATACGCTAAAACAACATGGGGAGGGGAAAAGGTATCAGCATGGGTACTGCACATTGGAAAAATCAAAAGGTGCAAGACAGAGCTGAGTATTGTCCTAAAGTAGGGATGGAACGGTAAGCTATAAGGACCTTGGAAACAATGCACACCTCTAACAGTAAGGACAAGAAAAATGTAAAGATGAAAAGGGCAGACTCCTAGAAACTGCCCAATGAGGTTGATAACACAAAGGAGAGAAAGAGAGAGGGAAAGGGAATCCAGGAGAAAAGCACAGAGAACAGAGATGGCAATGGCAACAAGGGATGCTTGCACACAGAATACGTCTGACAAGAAGTCACAAGTATTCTCAGTTCACTGGGCTTTAAAAAATTCCTGCATTACTACACAGAACAAGACTATCATGCCTGCACCCTCCTTCACCAGGGAGTAAGGGCTACAGCTAACAGAGGGAAATTTATACTGGCATCTTATAATTGAACTTTCAGTACCTTTAACTCTTGAAAGCCTCAGTTTATAAAAATACAAGGGAACAACAGAGCTCTTGTATTCCTTGCTAAAACTCAGAAATGCTAACCTAAAGTCAATCACTTGTTTGCAACACACCTTTTCCTCCCTTTGTTGGTCAACTTCTGTGCAGCTCCAAGATGTCCTCACACCCTTCAAAGAGGACAGATGTTTAATGCCAGCTAGGCAGAGCTGGCAGCAGGCAGTAAAGGAGCACATTTGTTTCCAGTGCACCTACTCATTAGTCAATTAGCAAAGCAGAGAGCACTTATGTCGTCCAGGTAGGTAGAATGCAGCTACTTCATAGTTCCAGCCAAGGTTGCTTGCAGAATTTTAACTTTGTGTTTTCTGTCTTCCTATTTATAAACATCACCATGAGATGTTTTCTAAATATTTACTGAGAACTTCCATTCCACCCAGGAAGACAGTCTGGAAACGCTCCAATCAAACCACTTCAAAAGGGCAGACAAGCACTGTGTACATACCTGCTCTCCAGCAACTCTCTGGAGGTGACTTATGGGCCCCAAAACATTCTGTTCCTCAACACTGATTCAGTACCAGAGTTGGACTTGCATACCAACTCAGTGTCTCATCTGTATGGAATTAGACAAGGGCACTTCACAGCTTGAAGAACTCCAGAATCAAAATATGCAGCACAATACAGAATGGTATTTCACAGCTGCAAGATGTCAGCTCCAAGCTGCAAACTCCTGTCTCTAACAATCCTCCTGCTACAAGGGAGGCAGCTACATTACAATTAAAGACAGCAATGTAAACTTGGCCAACCTTCCCATGTAAACTCCTGCTAATCAGCTGCTAACAAATTCCTGGCACTCCAGCAGTTGCATCAAAGTATGTCTAAAGGGCCTTTTTTTTTCCTTCAAGTGTCCAGTCGCATGCAGCCTTCCCAGAACAACACAACAGCAGCCAGATGTCAGAGCAGGAACAAAGTCTCAACCAGCATATGCAACCACACAAAGTCACAACTCAAGAACATCTTCAGAACATAATGTTCTTCTGGTGACTAACCTATATACCCATCACTTAATATGGTAAATCTCCCTAATGACAAAAAAATCCACATGCACTTTTTTAGCCACTTGGAGATAGTGTCACAAATCACAGTGACAAGAAAGCAGGGTGGGGGGGAAATCCCTCAGTATTAAGCAGCCTGGGTTTATCTACGAGCAGAGCAGGCTGGAAAAGTAGCCAGTGCAGAAATTCACCCCAGCAGCCTCTGGTGAAAGCAGGGCCTGTTGTCACTGCCAGTTGCTTACTGTGAATGAAGCACAGGTTGCCATATGATTTTAGTGGAAAAGGTATGTGTTAAATCAGGCAGAAAAAGAACCAACCTTCAACAACACAGCACGTGCCAGCAGAGGGAATGTCAGCCAGGGCTACGCCAGGATTGGTTCCACAGCCATCTCGGTGCAATACCCTTAAAGATAACCAGAAAGCTCTACCAGCCACTTTTATACTTGCACTTGTTTCCATACTGAAGGAGCTGCAGTCCCACAATGGCACTCCCTTTCAGCTGTGCAAGGGGCAATGCTTTTCCAATGCCAGTTAGATGCTGAGGAGACAGAGGCTTGTATTCCTGATCGGAAGCAGCGGGGAGGGAATACATGGAGCTTTAACTACTTTTGAAGAGAAGATCCACAAACCAACTGTTTTGTAGAAGCCCCGAGTTAAGTACAGCATTAGCCTAAAGGGACTTTCTATTATCTAATTCTGAATACTTCAGTCACCGTAATCAGTTTTGGACTCTCATTCAAAACTAAACTTTGGTTTTTTGTGCCACTGCAGTCAGTGAGGAGCAGCTAACAGCTTGGATGGGAGAAAAATGGAAAGCAAGCTCAGCCTCCTGCGTAACCAGGCACATCCCTTCCCGAGGGAAAGGGGAAAGATATAAAGATGCAATGTCCTTCCACACTTACCCTTTTCCAAGAAGCTACTTTCTAAGAACCCACTTGGCAAATTAACACAACAGACAAATATGAAAACAAGATTAAGACATCAGAAGCTTTGCAGCCCCCATCTGATAGGAGCATCCACTTAGTGCAGTTCTCAAAGCAAGAAAAGTTTTATACAGTCACAGCTTACACGTGAGGACAACCAGCATTTGTTATCTCCCCTCCATTCTATTAGCATGTGAACCCTTTGGTCAGTTTTAAACAAAGCTCTACTTCATGGAAAGGTTGAACTATGAGGTTGTCCTATTTTTCCATTAATATTGCAAAAAAAATTTAAAAAAGAAAAATTTCTTAATACATAGCAGAAAAGAAGTTACAGAACAAGCTTGAGCTTTTTAGACATGACACAAGGCAGTCACTAAACAAAGCCACAAAAAGGCAGAATTATCAGTTTTATAGCTTACACAGCTACCATTACTGCCCAGAACCAACCCCACCACTTTCCACAAGCTCCAGGCTGTCATTTTCCTCAGCTAGATTTTATACTTTAAAACTCAGTCCCCACTTTAACAGAGACACACATGGGCCTAAGAAGTTCTGTTCTCTCTGTCCCTTTGCAAAGCAAACCTTTAAGGCAGGCCTGCTTATTCATACCTTTGAGCTCCATTCAGCATGGATAATGAAATTAGTCTATTTATTTTCATTTAAGATTTAGCAAGAGAGCTCCAAGCATTCATACAATTAACCTTACAAGCAACACATCCAGCAGCATAATGCTAATAGACCAATCAGTTAAACCTAACCAACCAGCAGCATTTATCACCTTCAATTATTTAATTCACTCCATTAACAAGATGAAAACATGTTCCCAAACCACATCCCAAAATAGATTTCCTCCATTTTACAGCTACTGTCCTCAGGTCTCCTGCCAGGTGAACAGCATTTATCTTCACACCATCTGTGTCAGGGGGCCAAGTATTATTTGCACCACTCTGGAGAGGGAGACAGACAGAGCTACACTAGAGAGCATGTGACAGATCCAGGATCAGAGTCTAGGGCACCACTCTGACTGTGCATCTTCAGTCTCAGACATGAATCCTCAATATTGGAGCTCACTTTTGGTCCTGCTTTCTCATTCTCTCCATTCCTGCCTTCCCTACCCTTTAAACAGTGATGATCTTGAAGATTATTAGCAGTATTATAATGGCAACTTTACACAAGGAAGTCTTCAGACAAATACTCGACTGAAAGGCTCGAGTATGGAGCTGCCCAGTTTGTTGTGAGTTTGTACATTACTGCATTAAAGGCTTTGTCCTCACCTGGTGACCATGAATAGTATACAGAAGTCTTCCTTCCAGCAAGTCCAGAATTTTAAGAGTTGAATCATTGGAAGCAGTAACCAGATAGTTTCCAGAGGGGTGAAAGGAAAGACTGTTGACCACAGAGCAGTGCACTAAGAATGGAAAAAAACATATATAACAGTCACCAAGACCAATTTACATAAGCCCAAGGCAAAAGAATAAAGTACAAGCAATTCCAATTTTCTGTTACGAAGTTTAACAGGAAAATTATCATGGGGGAAACATTCCATGAAAGCTCTTCAAAGCACTGGAGAACAACAGTACTCGATTCTTGTAAAAATAGGCACTACTTTACTGAAAGGAAAAAGGAAGCTTTGCCAATTATTCTGGGAAATTTAATGCTACAAAAGCTTCCAGCATAGGCCCAAAATACACTATACGTGCAAGTGAGCTATAGGATTGTGTGGGAGCTGGACATTGTCTATTTTACTACCGTGGAGCTGCTGTTCTTACTCTCAAGTCATTCCAGATTAAAATCTATATGCTGGCACATCGAGAAGCCTGAAATTACAATAGAAGACACTCAGAGCTGACATTGCAGGTTCTTTTGGTTTACTACCCAACTCCAGCCAAGACTGGGTTAAAGAGAAACTAGGAAATAAAACCCAGCAACTTGAAAATGGTCCAGTATAAGCATTATTTTCTTCAAGCATCCAATTTGTCTCACAAAGAAGTTGAACCAAGTATGAATAGACAAACTATCAAGAGTGTGAGCTTCCAATAAAGCAATCCTTCTTGCATGAGGATGAAGCCTAAGAGTTATTTTGAAAAGAGCTCAAGAAAATGTTCCAGGAAAAAAGTCAAACTTAAGTGAAGTTCACTGTAACATTAAACATCTAATGCATGGCTTTTTTCCTTCCCAGAACTTTTACAAAACAGGCTATTGAACATATTTATTTATAAGAACATGCAGTACTTTACATATGCACAGCTTTCGGAGCGTATGTGACATTACAGAATATTAAGACTATGCTTCAGGAGGGATTTAACCATCCAATTATTCTTAATTATATTATATGCCCTCCAAATGTTCTGCTATCTCAAATCTACAACCACTAATGCATCACACCCCACTAAATTTATATTCCCTGGAGAGTCCACTGTGCATTTTAAATCCACACTGTTAAAAAAATCCTCAAAATGTAATTTTAAAGACATAAGAACCAAGTACTATTTTTTGCAGCTGTGGATTTAAAGCAGATACCTGAAACAACCTTGCTCAGATGTAAAACAGAATGCCTGTACTCGTGAAACTCTCAGGAACACTAAATACCTCAGCTTAAGTTCTGAAAACTCCTCTTGACCTGGACTATTGAAAAACACAGAAAAAAAAAACCCCTTAACACAGGTAACCTCTAAACACTTACTCTTTTTGGTGAATACTGACTCTACCACACAGATCTTCCTCTATCCCCCCAGTCCCGTATGACACTAGAGAAAAAGCTCTATGTGGAGTTTTTTCTCATAAAAGACTGTTAAATACCTTTCTCCCTTGAAAATTTTATTCTGAGTGATTTGTAATATTCCCCACCCCATTAGTGTCTATAATCAGATAAAGGCAAACACATCTTGTCAGCTAAGGCAAGTCCTGAAATGAATCACATCAGAAATAGAACAAGTTAATGATATATCTATCTTCTAAGTTCCAGACAGTGAATTAAAGTATTTCCAGCTTCACAAAAAAACTTTTTTCATAATGGAAAGAAGTCACACAGACTGAGGCTGCGTAAGCAGCTGCAGCTTCTGTGCCCAAGGAGTTCTTGGCTGCCACAAGCTCAGAGAAAAATTCATTCTCTTCTGCCAAACCAGCTCATACCTCCCACAAGACCATTCACAACACCTCTTCAAGAGCCTGCCACTACATCACTTGATTTCATGTTGTAAACAATAAATCTGGTGCAGCATGAGGGCATCTCCCAGTGCCTTGTTGCTACAAGCTCACTCTCCTGCCAGTCAAGCCCTAGCAAAATAACAGCCTGTTAAAGGACTTACACTGGGGGGTAACAACTAAAATTGAGTCCTGCCAGCCTAGAGTGCTGCACATAACTGTCCTGTGTCTCACAACACTACTTTTATGTAATCAGTGAATGCAACCCTTAGTAACAACCAGTGAGGAGATAAATTAGGGTGCACTTGACACAGCCACAGTCCCTTGGGAACAGACAATCACCATCAGCCCTATCCTAACTGGATAAAAAGTATCAATTATTCAATTATTCTTTTTAAACAGTAATTTAAAAAACAGGTTAGAGCTGTTTCCATAGACCTACAATAGAGGTGCTCCACACACAACTTTGGACAGGGAAAAATGTCAGGCAATAAACACTGGCCAGCTTTGTAGGGGCTGTACAAAATCTGCTGTACAAAAAAGATATGCTGTACAAAAAAAGCACCAAGTAGAGAACTGGATAAAGCATCTGTCTGCTCTCCTGTACAGGGAAAGTGACAAGAGCATACTTTACTTTGCTAAAAGAAAAACAAATCATACAAAAGGTTTTGCAGCTTGCTCTCTACCATCCAACTTTCATTTACAAATGTCACAGTTGGAACAAGCCCTGGCAACGAGAGCAACACTGCTAAAAGACTAATGGGTGTTGGAAAACAGCCCAACGTTAAGATGCAAGAGCCTGTGGCAGGGCTACTGATCTGTTAACTCCTCCATGCAAGTCCATCTTTAAAATGGATTCCCTAGAAATCGGAGAGCATCAGCACATTCTGAAGGCAGAGATGCCACCTAGTGGGACTGGGCTGGCAGCCTCACATGGGAGACACAAAACTCAATCCGATTTAGCCAAGAAGACACACATGAACCCTGAGAAGAGCAGGATTCACAAATGCATCTCCAGGACACGTTACAAACACATCAGTTTGCAGCCACAGGTACATGAAATGACTGTGAACAGCCACCACTGCAATTTTAGGTTTCTTCAGCTTTTGTGACTATTTTTAGTTCAAAGTTTAATACACAATTAGCATTTCCACAGTAGCTGTTAAAAATAACACAACAGGAAAAGACTGCTTCAATAGTGAGGGGGTCAGATTAAAATGCCACTCGGTAGGGGTGGGATACAGGGGAAATATGTAATTCCATGACAAAAAATAAACCTGGCAGCCAAACAAACCACATTAGATTCGGTCAATTTAATAGCAGTAAGTGGAAAGCAGGAAGAGATGAATTTTGAGCCAAGTTATACTGTGGCTGGAAACATGCACTGCAGATCTTGCCACCATTGAAAAGCTGATAAAGTAGGTTAAAGGACAATCTGACACTGTTCAAGTATTTAAATGCACTACTGATTTTAGCAACAAGACTTCAGAAAGGCATTTCCAAGCTGTGCTATGGGCCACGAGTTAACAATACTTATTACACAAAGAATCACCGTTCAATATTCATCACTGTGATTGTACCAGCTCAAAACTGATGAATTGGAATAACAGTTGTCAAAAGGTTTGATTTGTATTAGATTTTGATTACGATTAGAGAACTGGGAGTGGTTGTGATCCATAAGAACAACCGAAGCTGTGAGGTTGTCACAGCAGTGACCTGCAGTAGCTGATGTTGATGGTAGAAAGAACACACCAAGCTCCAGCCCTGTACCTCTGATCTGCTTTACATGAATACTAACAGCAGTCCTCAGGAAAAGTCAGCAAAATTAAGTTCAATATGCTATCAATGCTGGAAACATTGCTTGAGAATGTATGGATTTAAAAATACTACAGTAGCCCTAAAAACTGCTCTTAGTAAAGGAAAGCCAGATTAGGCTCAAGAAACTACTATACACAGAACAGGTCAATCAGTCTCAAAGTAGCTTGCAGGGATGGGAAGCATCCACTTCTTCTCCAGTTCTGCCAAACAGCAGCACTAATCAGCTGGACAGGAACAGGTAGTGGGAGGAGATGCCATTTGGAAGGTAAGGGTTAAAAAACCCCTAAACATTTAGACTCCTAGATACACTTTACAGACAAACCAACCTGGACAAGTTGTAACACGGTCAAAGCTAATTCTGGAAGCTGAAAACCAAACAGATTCTGGAAAATGAACTGTAAACACAGATCATGGTATAGAATTGCAATTGACTGACTTTCCTTCTTTTGCTAACCTTCCCTAATTATCTCAAAGAACTTAACCTTTTGATTTGCTGGAATAGATGTGACTCCTCCTGTAGGCTTATTCAGAGGCAAAGGCCGCATGCCTAAGTCATCATCTCAAGAGCAGTGAATATGAGCTAAATGGCATCACAGGTAACACCCTGCACACCTGCAGCATGGACAGTTTCAGAATCAGCCCTGGAGTTAATACAAAGCAAAGCATGATGTGTGGTGAAGAAAGACTTCTGCTGGCAGGCCTAACTCAGTGCCTTTTTGCAAAAGCCACAGGTGATGAAGAAATACTCCTTGGACTTCAGAGCAATTCCTATGAACCTGGAAAGGTTGAACTTCTCCAAGATGTTAACTTGCCTTGATAATGCTGCAGCAGTCTCTTCATCCTGACGTCCCACACCTTCACCGTGTTATCCGCACCGGCCACAGCGATGCATGTACCGCTGGGGTGAAAATCTACATGGTTTACAAACCTGCAAAGAGCAGTTAAATCCAACTGTTTACATTCAACTCTGGCTAGAGATCACAAAGGTCTTTTCAAGAAGGGAAGCAACACCATGACTCATTGGACACTACGGAAAGGAGATAACCTGAAATGAGTTTTGTTGAATTTCTCTTCAGACCTTGCTTATAACCCCAAGCAGACTGCGGGATCCTGCCTAAGCATCCCATCTTCAACAGTTCACATTACAGGTGTAGGAGTTGTAGACACAAGCCTCCTGAAATCTGATGGATCTAACTGTCACAACAACATTTTCAAGTGTTCATTTAATGTTTGCATAATATATGCCTTCTGTTAAATTAACAGGGTTTCTAGAGCTGTGTGTACAAGACTGAATATTTTCCTTCTATTAACTAATTTTAAGATGGAACTTAGTGAATTTGTGCCTGAAATCACATGTTGCCACTCGGAAGTTAGCAAGGCTAAGGTCAAATTTCCTTCTGGACCTGCAAGCAATCAATTTTTATTTTGAACACACAAGTACAATAAAACCTTCAGAAATTTCAGTTAAGGGCATCTTGTAGCTCCTTGCCTAAGCCACACAATAAATGGGCTAAAATTAATTTTCTTTTGAGTATTCTTGTAACAAATGCCAAAGTTGTTGAGATATTTCAATAGGTTGTTTGGACAAGCTATATTCTTAGGAGCACTGGAAAAAACAATGCTGTCTGAATTTGTCTTAATACCATTGTATACCACCTGAAAAGGACCTAACTTTGTACTTAAAAATTCAATGCAGCAAAGAATTAGGAAGATTCTAGACTCAGTTCTCTAAGGACTTGTTTTACGTTTCTGGACAAATTAACTTTTGCTGTGGCTAAACATTCCAAATTCACTGGTTGTTTTTCTGAATACAAAGTTACTTTTTTTAATAACCTTGTTACTTAAACATTTAAGGAATTGAAACAAAGCATCCAAGTGCCAACCTGCCAGCAGGCTTCTGCACTTACAATTTATGTCAACTCAGAGGAAAACCAAAGAGCTTGACATAGCTAGAAGAAGAAATAAAGAAGTCAAGCATCTCCAAAAATAAATAAGCACAATGAAAATGAGGCTTGATGTGTTGGACAGTTACTCAAATATAACCATTGTGGTTCCAACCTGGAGCAGTCAGAAAGAGGTCAGTTAATTCCAGAAGCTTCTTTTGCACCTCGTCCTACACTGGCTGCTTTACTAACAGGTGCTAATGTTTTTTTAAGCAGTTCTAGGATTGCCAGGACAAGGACCTCTGTACCTCACAAACCAGGAGTACATTCCCTAGGCACCCCCATTTCAGACAAAACACTGGCACTTACCCCCCATGCTCGCAGAAGGAGTGTATACATTCTCTGCTGGTCTTATCCCACAGTTTGACAGTTTTGTCATCACTGGCTGACACTATCAATCGTCCATCAGGAGAGAATCTAAGATAAGAGTTACAGCAATTAAGAAATGTCCCCAAACGAAAGGTGTGTGGGGTCAACTGAATTCAGTCAACTGGCAAGGTACGCTGCTAAACACATCTAGCTCTCCAAGAAGTCACACTGGCATCAGTGAGACTAAAAATCCAATCACTAAGTTGAGGGAAAAGAAAGCAAACTAAGTCCCCAAACTATCCCTAATTCCACAGGAACATAAAATAGCCACCAGGAAAATCCTGAGTCTGATTTAAGATTTACTGTCCTACTTGTTTCAACTTGTACATCAAGTTGTTTCTCTGCCCCAGCTCAAAACAATTCCTACCTTTGCCATAAACATTCAGAGCACCGTAATTCCTCCCAAGATAACAGCTGCAGCAGAACCTTCACCATTCCAGTGCCTTAGGAGGATATATTAAGCTCCCATTTCAAAATTTCATATACATGACAGATCAATATCCCATTTTATGGGCACACATTTCACAGGATCAGGACTTTGAGTCCCTAACTAGAGAACAACATCATACATAAAGGAAAAACTTCCTTTCTGCTCATCTTTGGGCAGCTATAGCACTACCAGCCACTGCCACCACCACATTCCGAACTACAACTGGACATTCCACCCACAGAGAAACCATGGCTTTATCCTAGATACATAGATACACAAAACACTCCTCAGAACAACTGAGATGGGCAACTGAACAACAAATCCAAGAGAGTTAACAGGAAATAATGTTATTATCATGGCAGCACTTGGAGCATTTTGGAAGGAGTACAGGGGATCATTTTAACTAGAGGAATGACAAGTCTAAAAGGTACTAAGCTGAAGTAACAGAAGAAATTTCTCATTTTGCTTCTGTTAGCAACTTCAAGATGCTGAAGTCTCCTTACCAGGTAAAAGCAAAACACAGATCAAATCACAAAGCAGAAAAGCCTCTGCTTGGCAAAGATCAGAGGAGAAACACAAGAGTGGGTGCAGACTGTCATCCAAAGGGATCTCTCTGTAGGTCAGCAATATATTTCAGTCACTAGACACTCTTGAATCACCCTGAATAGAAACGTGTTACATAAGACCATGACACTCAAGTCTCTGCTTTGAGGGATAAATCCCCATCTTTATTTGTCAGAGCTGTACTCACCTGGCACAGCGAACCCAGTTGATGTGTTCACTCAGTGAGAATAGAAACTTCTGTCTGTGAACTGTCCACACTTTGACTGTTTTGTCATCAGAAGCTGTAACTAAGAACTGGCCATCGCTGGAGAAATGAACACTTCTTACAGTTCCTGTATGAGCCTTGAACACAGTTGATTCTCCTTTGCTGTATAGAAGATAGAGAACCTTAAAATTGCACAACAGGGCAGCAAAGACATTATGTACCTCAAAACACAAAGCTGCTGTACACTGAGCAGCGCTATTAACCACCACTTCTATGGGAGCTGCATATGATCACACTAGTTAAAAAACACTGATCAACCCCAAATGTACTCATTATTTGTGAGCTATACAGAATACATAGCCAAAAGCAGTGTTCCAGTTCCAAACTGAAGCCCAATCCAACAGCAAACAACCTATGTTTCCCATAAAGAGCCAAAAATGCTATTGGGAATTTGTGCAACCATTTAAAACAACATTTAGGGGAATAACACCGATGATGTTGAGGTTCTGTACTGTTGCCAGGTCCTTCACTGCAAGGAAGGCAAGGAGGGGGGTGTTTTCACAGTTCATCTGGACAGAGCCAACCAATCCTCACAACCTGCAGTGGCCCAAGCTCCAGGTGGACAATTCCATTGCAGCATCACATAAGGAATAGCACAACTCAATTCAGCACACCTGATGCTGTACAACTGTGACCAAACTACCATTAACTCAGCCTGGTAAGACAAGAGACAAGGCACTGTTATTCCCTCTTTGTCCATCATTTCCAAAAAAATGCAAGACACATTCTCCTGGAAAATAAACACAAGGCATATTTAGAGATCCAACACGTTTCTGGAACTCTTGGTCCAAAATATGTCTCCAGCATGTACTGTACTGCCAGGAGTTCCATATTCACAGACTGAAGAGAAAAGAAAAGCATGGCAGTTTGCTCCCTTCTCTATTAGGATTTAAATAAGCTTTATACTGAGGCTGAGGACTACCAAAACCATAAAGGCCAAAAAAATCAAAATCCTACCTATCTTCAGCAATATTCCCTCCCTGCTCAGAAAAGGTCAAATCTGCCTAGTTTTATTGAATCCTTTATCTGCCAGAAGGCAAGCAACTGTAAAGGTTACTTCTCAGCAAAGTTTTCTTTCTGTCCAAAACCACAGAACATCCCCAAGCTGGATAAAAATTCATGAAGAAACATGAAATTATAAAAGTCTGTCATCATGGCTCATAACAAACAAATCCCAAAGGTAGAAATCCACACACCAAGGCAGCATTAACTCCTTCAGTAACATGTTGACCCTGAAAGGGTCTGCAAGGTTTCTGATTATTTGGAAATAAAGTCCTACCCCACAGACTACGGGACAGATTCTCCCTCCCCTTTTAATGACAGTGCAAAACTGGCAAGCTGAAGGTCTCAAATCTGATTCACTATCAAAACTTTTTGTTGTATTTAGAGAAGGTAAACTGACACAGAATATAAACACAGATTAAATGTGCCAGGCCCCAAGGTATTAATGAGCAGCCTAACAATAACTCTCTCTCCACACTGGCCCTTTTCTGACATGGCTTGACAGCCCCAGGTGCAATTTAGACCTCAGAGCTCATGTGCCTAAAGCAACCAAGACATAATCACACGACAGACATTCTGCTCTCTCATCATATCTGTCCCTTCTTAAAATGTATGCCTTAGCTTCTGAGAACTGAAGTCTGTGCTCTAATTTACTTCCAGCATTCTGTGTTATTAGCGCAGCTCTGGCGACAGCAAATGACAGTGTCAGTCTCTTTCTTTGTAGGAGATTAATGAGCAGCAAGGTTAAATTTTAATCCTAATCCACTTTGTGCCTTCTAACAATATATATGCCATCACGCCATTGTGATTATTCCTTCTAGGAAACTTTAATTAAACTGAAACAATTATGAGTGAAATTACAACCTGCAAATTTTAGTTCTGTTTCACTACAAGTGAAGATACTTAAGAGCACCTTTATAATGAATTTTAAAAAGTTGCTTTCAGAACCCATCAGTTCCATGGCAGAGATGAGGTTTAGTTTTATAGATCAAATAAAGCTTCCAATTACAAATCATAACCATAAAAACTCTTCAAAAAGAAACAATGAGAAATGCTTGCCCAGGCTCCTGAAGCAACATGTCCATTTTAAAGTTGAGGTGTTTTTTGTTTGGTTGGAGTTTTTTTGTTGGGGTTTTTTTTTAATCCCTTCTATTTGCCACCACAATAATCAGGATCTGCTTCTGGGCACAATCCTTTAGCCTTGGATAGACACGGTCTGCAAGCTCACAACCAAAAGAACCTCCAATGCCTATTTATATCCCTGTCCATTCACAGAACAATCCCACTGTTTAGTGTGGGTATCAAGAGACCAGAAGAAACACTGGCAGGTGCTTTTCTGCATCTTGACCACAAAACACTTCTCATTACTTGCAGCAAGTTTAAGTCTTCAAGCAGAAGCTCTTAAGCACTGTTCCATTTGTGTTTATTTCAGTAAGTGTCCCTGGCTGAGGACATCTCACTTAAAACAATCCCTAGCGGAATAAAACAATAGAAATTGAGGTCTCTCAGTCAATGGTTCCTAGTGCAAACAGGTAGCACTTGACAAGTGTTAATGAGTTAAAGCAATGAGAGCCTCTATTCAAAACAGGAAACCTCATAATTAGGCTAAGGTGCTGATAGGAAATTTCTGTTAATCATAGGCAAGCTCACAAAAAAGACAATACATAATATAAAGTAGTCTTTTATCTTAGTAATATACCGTGATCTACTATCAGTGGAACAGTTACTAGTTTTAGACCAAAAAATAAAGGTTAAAGGTATCTAATTGTTTTGTGGACTACAGCAAGCTAGTAACCTCCATTCTGCTCACAGAACACGTAAATCCATCTCTAAACTTGTGTTCCAGCATCTTGCTCAACACCGGCAGAGAAGTAAAGGATGTTTGCAAGGAGGAAAGACAGACTGGGGAAAGGGAAAGAAAGGGAAAGAAAAAATCCAACAGCTCACCACTGATGAGTTACATTAGTGACTTGTTATATTAGCATAAGAAGTTAATATGGATTTTAATCTTTGCAAAGGCTTTTGATTTTTTTTTCCATGCAATTTCAAGGCCAAATTACCTCTCCTCTGTCAGAGGCATCACATTAAGTGGTTCCTCTTT